TCAGTGGTTGTTGTTGTTGTTTGCGATCCGTCCTCTGGTTCATGACAACTCTGGCAGTGTAAAGTGATACAATAATTTATTATAAGGTCAGTGTTTGGTCTCGGGCATGGTCCATCTTCACCGTCTTCCTTCAAACTGGATCAGCTAGTCAGTCATGCTCTTTAATAAAGACCCTCCTATCCTCACACCTCCCAATCCATCATGGCCTCCAATCAGGATGCAAAAAAAAGATGAAGGTGGTTAGAGAGGACTGCAACCTACAGGGTCACACAGGGGAAACCCTACACTGGGGGCTTTGTTCACAATTATTAAGTCAACAAAGAAGATGGGCACATGTACACTCATTGGCATACCACAGATGCAAAGACAAGTGTGCATGAGAAACGAGATGTTATTCAGCATACACACCTTTGTCCTTTAACCTCTGACCACAAATTACCTGCCCTGTCAATTACAGCTGACTTTGAATTCACGTGAGTGTATTTGTGTGCAATACCAGGTCTCAGAGATGACGTGAGCCACCAAACTCAGTGATGCATGAGTGTGCATGCTGGCTGTGACTAATAGAGGGTCTTTGTTAAAACAATAGGAGGTCCTCTCCTCTCATGTCCCCTCAGTAATGATGGAGACACTGTCCTCTTTATTTAACCTGCAGCTAGAAGTCGTATTACAGGTCAGCATGGCCAGACTGAGTTTAAGTGTTTGTCTCCGTAGCTGCACACCATCCCCTCGATCTTCTGTCTCACCCATTTTTGGATTTAGGTGATCCTTTTCTTTATTTTTCACATACATTGTAATATGTTTTCAAAACTGCATATGTCTTCACAAAGAGAAATATTTCTTCCATACCTCCGGCGCAGGTTGCTGAACACTGAGAGCGTATAATGGCCCATGTGTAGTTGGGTTTAATCTTCTCAACTGTTTTTGTCAGAGTGTATTCCCATCGCACGCCTGGATTCCAGCCCTGCAACAGTATCTGAAAATATAAGCAAATAATCTGTTAAAGAAGTAAACTATCAATGATCAAAAGAAAACTTGTGCTATCTGATTGCTTACTTCTACTACAAGTGTTTGATTTGTAGGGCCGGCTGACATGAGGCTCTCTGGTCTGTTGTACGGCCTCTTATACTCAAACATTGTTCCAGCAATTGGGTGTCGGCCTGGCCAATCCACCGTCCACAGACCATTCAGGTAGTAGTGTCTCTGGGTGTCCCTGAGAGCCAGGTAGGAGCTTGAAGTATTCAGTTCTGTCACACGGATGCTCCGAGCTCCTGCTGGAATGGTTACCACCATGTAGTACTCTATGAAACCAAAAAAAAAAACTTTTTAGAACAATCGCTTGAACTTTCATTAAAAAATAAATAAATACAGCCACTAGGGAACAAAAGCCAGATCAGACGGAGGGTGGCAACTCTAGATGTGGGGACAAGTTCAAGTTATAGTGTTCACAACAAGCATTGATGGAGAGACAGAGGGTATTTCCAATTCTTCCTTTTCATTTCGTGATGGAGGACAAAAAGACGTGCGTCTAAGCCATAAACCGTTTTTGTCTTGAACTTTTTTTATTCTAAGCCATATGAACAAATCCGTGGCTTTTACAGTAGTCACAATGTTATTTCTCCCCTTAATTATGTTTGATGTTTGTTTTGTTAAAGTAAAATTCTTGCAAAGTTGTTTGATGTATTTTCATGTAATAATGTATTTTTATGGCATCACTGTCAATTTTAATTTGTAAGAAATGACTTACGGTTAGTGAAAGGCTGCTTTATGTATTGTCCTTTGTAAATCTTGCAGGTGGAATTGTCTCCTTTACACACCCCACAAGCGTCAGGGACAGTCGGGGAGCCCAAAACCCGATCACAGCCCACTTTCTGTGGAAGGAAGGCATTGTTACATTAAATAACAGAGAAGGCATGCACACAAACTGCAACGTTACATGACGGCTGACAGTTTAAATGAAAAGCTACATGTGCTGTGGAGGTGGTGACAGGTCAATGGCTGAACTTTGTGGAAGTGAAAGGAGTGTCCCAGTAACATGTAACTGGTGCACACGAGCCTTCAATCTTAAACTCACTCCTCAAAGAAGTCAAAACCAAGTCTCTAAAGGTAAAAGTTACCTCACACAGACCATCAATACAGACGTTGGAGGTGTCTTTGGAACAAAGTGTCCCGTCTTTAACTTTGCTGGCCAGGGCAAAGAAGAAATCATAACCTTCAGCAAAACAGTAAAGCTTGCAAACATCTTGATCTAAAAGAAAAATAAAAGCTTATTAAAATGAGAAAAGATGCAACTGTTTTCTATAATACATATATGCAAGTAAGAGTTTGTATCGGTTGAATATATTAGAAAATGAAGGGGCTCACTCGCACCGTCTACTCTGGTGTACGGCCTCCAGGTGTAGTACCATCCTCTGAACGGTTTGCTGTTGTATTCAGCACACTGCTGCGCTCTGTAATCAGCCGAGTTGGGAGGACAGGCCTCGGTGTTACACAGCTTGTATGACCTCGACGAGCCGTCACAGAACTTCCCACCATTTGCAGGTCTGCAGAGACAGATGAAAACTTTTAGCTAGTAACTAAATGTTGCATAGTTTACCTCCTGTATTTTATCCATTTTCTTGGTAATCATTTGTTTGAATGATATGAAATGAATTTAAAAAAGAATGGTTTATTTGTGTGTTGATAATGCAGATTATAATAGCTTGCAAAATGTTGATATAATAATAATAAATAAAAAAAACATTAAGGCGAACTGGATGTGAAGCAACATTCAAATAGGAATTTAAAAAAGCACTTAAGATTTTATTGTTCTGTCAAGACTGGACCATGAGTATTCTCTGTGTGTGTCTTTGTCTAGGTTACTATCACAGGTGTATATCCTTGGGCTACCTTTCCAAAAAGAAAAAAAAGGACAAAAAAACTCATTTCCATGATACAATTACAACTTTTATCAGCCTTAAAATCACATTGCCTCTTATCTCTCTCTTAATCTCAAATTTGATCCTGCTCTATCTCCACATTTCATCTTTTATTTGTTAATGTCTTCCTGGACAACTCACCTCACTCACCCTGTCTCAGTTACCTGTCCGACTCTTGTTTCCTATCTTCAACCATATGTCCTCTCCTCCATCTATTCCTCATCATCATTCTTTGTCTCACCTCTTGCCAGGATCACAGCATGATAAAGAAGAGGTCCTGGTATTTTAGACGGGAGCCACTGACTGACTGATGCTGCTATTAACTCTGACACTGATGGATGGCAAGGGACTAATAAGTACTTCAACAACATACCTTTATTTTAATGACATCCTAATAAAGTATTGCTCCTCCACTGCATATATGCATTAAGCAAATCTATTTCACCAGAAAAAAACAAATAAACCGCTCATTTGAAAATGTCTTTTCATCTATGTGCCAAGAGTTCAGAGGGTTTCAGCTCATTTTTGTCTCTTAAGTTGAAAAGATAAGGCCAACTTTAGATATTAAAACAGCCTGACTTAAGTATTTATATTTATGACATTATACTGTGAAAACAAAATTAATTTTGTTGAACCTGGCAAAAAGGCATTTTCCTACTCTGCTCCTGCAACCTGGAACACCTTGCAACAGGCATCAAAACCGTCCACCTTAATTTTTAAGGGATCTGAAACATTTGATAAAGTCAATAGAAGCATCAACGAAACTATGTTCTTGTTTTTATTTTTTTACCTTGTTTTATGGCACCTTGATTTATTATTTTATAACACAACTTTGATTTCAGTTGTGACAATTAAATCACTGAGGCTCTATCCTCTCTGTCAGACTTCCTAGCCAATTTACAATTCAGTGAAGTCCTCCTCGCCAGAGATTTCAGTGTTGATTGGAGAATACAGAGCCAACTCTGTGATAAATTCAATTAAAGTTGCTTGTCACTTAATCTGACCCAAATCATTGACATCCCCACCGTTTAGTGATTTAATACAGGGATTTTAATTGCATTTTTAATGTAGTTTATTGTTGTCTGTACTTTATATGTTGTCTGTCTAAAACAGGTCTCTCTTGTAAAAGAGTCCTCGTGACTCATTGAGACTAACCTGTATAAATAAAGGTTGAATGAATGAATGGATTTCCAAGTGATAATGATTTATTTATTCCATTATCTCAAGAGAACAAGGATTCTTTTTGAGATTCTGAGTCAATTTGAATGTTATTTTGACTGATATGTGTTTGTTTTTTGTGACATGCACGCACGCAGTCACGCACCCACGAACAAACTTCGGTTTAATCTATTTCTGTTTCTTTATTAAACGATGAACTGTGTCTTCACCAGGACCACAGCTATGGATTTGTTTACCTGGGGTTGTTGCACTGTCTCTCTCGATAGGTGACACCGCTCTCACAGCTTCGAGAGCAGGCAGACCACGAGGACCATGAGGACCAGAGACCGTGCTGAGGCCTGGGGCCCTCGTCGCCCTGCTTCACACAATGACCCCTGCGACACCACTGAAGAAAAGACACAAAGAAGTAATACATTTGTGAAGGAAGGAGACAAAAAGATGGATGTCTAAGCTAACAGCATGTCAGGCCACAGATTATTTAGTTTTTATTGTTTTGGTGAAATCAGATCATGGAGGAGTTAGAAAACCTGTGTCAAACATTAACATCTTGGTTAAAACAGGTTTTGGTTGTTTTAAACCAATGAAAAAAGTAAAAAAAAAAACTTTGAAAGGGGTTGATATAATTAGACTTTTTATAGTGCAAATAAAACTTAAAAGCAGAATACCTGCCTTTAATACAGTATTTCACGCATTAAACTTTTAGCTCATTTGTTTTAAAACCAAATCTCAGTTTTAGATCCAGCTTCACATTTTAATATTAAGTAAATATTTTTTTACAGCTTTTGCAGAAACCCTTTAAAGATTTTCTAGAATGTTCAGCATCATAACTTCTTTTTGCACCAAACTCAGCCTCAAACTGTGCCAACTGTATCTTAATGCAATGACCTTAAAACTCCTCAGTAATGAAATGTTCAGTAAGGCAGCTGGGCAAGGCAAAATAAGGATTCGATGTCAAATTACTTGAGTAAAGTTTCTTTGTGTGCTGCATGCGATCATCCACCAATGGGAAAGAACGTGTCACGGAAATGGGATTTTTTAAATGCAGTACAACACTCAAAAAGACCAAATTTACAACCAACTAAGAAATCACAAGTTCCTAATTTAGCAGTACTTTACCACACACATGCACGCAAACACACACACCACAGAGAAACACACCTCCAAATATTCTCAGAGGATTAGAACAGCTGATTTCCTTTCTGGGTTTTCCCCTCCTGCTGAGTGCCACAGATTCCTCTCTAAGCCTCTAATGTTTGTTTTTGACTAATTAATTTAACCATACAATTATTTAGCTCAAGAAGTGGTGGATTGTCAGGGTCTTGGGGGGAGAATCATCTTAAAAGAGAAACAAAGCACGAATAAAGACCACAAGTTATATATTTTTGGCTCTAACCCTAGTGACAAACTTTATCCAAATCATCAACAAACCAGCTGCTCCTTCGGGTGAACACAGGGGATAAGAGAGCGTTACGTCTACCAGAGACAGGGACTTCATTCACACTGCATATGAACTCCAACATACACTAAAGCTGCTCTTAAATCAGAGCGTGCATGTACGTTTATAAGTTCATCTCAGAAAACAAGGATGGTGTCACCAAGTTCAAGCCTTTTGTTTGCAAATGGCAACACTCAGTGGTATTATTTACACCAAATAACTTAAAGGCTCAATAAATTTAGCTTTTATTACAGTATCGATTCAGACTGTCTATGGTATAAAATACTGCCACTCTTTGTCTCGTGTAATTTACTGACTCGGAGCTCTGTGGAGTCCTTTTGGAGAAGGAATGCGCTTGTCTCCGTATGAGACGTTGCGTTTTACAAGCTTCACCCTCAGCTGAACGCTACACAGTTCATTATGTTTCAGCAGAGCACGAACAAAAGGAAAACTCATGCCTCCAAAGAAAAATCGACTCTTCATTTAGTCGTTTAATACCGAGTGGAGAAGTTTAAAACCGCCACTTTTATGGCTCTTGTTTGATTGGTGCTGCACGGATGGAAGACAGTTTCCCACTAAAACCACTGGACAAAGATTGTGAGAAGATCTTGTTTGGTGACTTTTATTAGAGGATGTCTTTAGTAAAATGTTGCCATGAAACAGTGGACTAACAACTGTAACTAAACAAGTCCTGTTTTGATAAAAACAAAGCATTCTCAGGATCAATTTAGCTCCTTTAGCTCTAGTTTGATCTTTAATAAACACGTCTCTCTTGTAAATGAGTCCTCGAGGCTCAATGAGACAAACCTGTATAAATGAAGATTGAATGAAATTCACTTCTAAAAGTGTAGTTCAATCTTTTGACGTGGGTGTTTGCTGTTATGCTGTAAATAATTGTTATTTTACTAGGAATGGGAAGTGATCTTCAAATATCGTGACAAGCCGAGCAGATTTTTTAAATGATGCATTTTCTGAGAAAACAACTTGGAGCATTCATGTATCTGTGGCACTGGAGTTTATTTTGAAAGGATTCTAAATTAGAAACTATTGTCACGGGTGAGCTCCGCTTTACTGACAGAACATTTGAATCCCGCTCCATGTGGACCAGTGAAAATGACAGAAAGTAAAGATTCCTGGTTTGCAGAATTAGCAGTAGAACACGTCTCTTTAGTTAGAGGAGATTTAAATTGTGAAGTGGTTTGAGAATTCAAAGAAAAATATAGTATTTATAAAGCTGAAGAATGTTTTTGGTAAAAATGCACATCCATATACCTTACCTGTTTCAGAAAGCTCTTTGAACAGCTTCAGTTCTGACATGACTGACAAGCTAATGGCTAGTCTGATCAGAACCAGGACCATATTGAACTGCTGTGATCCTAAAACAAGTCCAGACCGAAACATGTCATTGTCCTTCATGTAATGCTACTTTGCAATACACAGTTATCCTGGCAGAAAAATAAGATGCTTCAATGGAAGTGCTACATCTAGCTGCTGCTGCTGCTGCTGGTATTTGAACTCACAAATAACCATGAAACTATATTTAAATAACTCTGTATTGTAAGATTTAGAGTGTAAAGCTTTCTAAAGTAGACTCCTCAGATTGAAGAAGTCCTTCGGATGAAGGACGAAATGTCTCAAACAAAAAAGAGAAACTGTCCAGATGACGTGTCTGAACATTGTTGGATTTGTACCTGGATTATTGAGCATGAAACTTTGGTGTTTCTAAAATAGTTTGCATCAAAAGCAGTAAAAGTTCTGAGACTGAAGATTTTGTTAAAAAAAGAAGAAGTCCACATAGTTCTTGGATCCACTCCGACTAGCCGTTAGCTCATCATTCCTGTCAGAATTAAATTTGAATGAAAGAATCATGTAGATGTGCATGAATAAATTCTCTCCAGGTGTCGGTTCTTGAATCATTTGTTTAAATGCGTTTAACTCACATCACAAACATATCTGTGGCAGGTAAGATATTAACGATACATAACTCTTCCACACAACCACACAAAAGCCATGAGATGATAGTGTTTTGTTCCCCCCCCCCAAAAAAAAACACTAAATACTATATATACTGCATTTTCTCATGTTAAACAAAAAGTGTGTGAGTAAAGTAAAAAATAAACTAAAATGCTTCCTGTTTAAGTTATGCCATGCAGGTGAAATAAAAGCTTGAGCATGTAACAGAGATCCCCTCATGTGATCCAAACACAGTTGTGTTTATTCACCATGCTGGGACCGCAGGACGAGCCCTCAGCAGCCGGCATGAACTTGGTCTCACATTTCCTCCCAAAACGGTGGCACCACAGAGCCTTGCAGATATCCTGGAACAACATGAGAGGAACGGAATAATCAGGATCCTCCTCACAGCAGCTGGAAACAAAGCTCACAACTGGAAGAACATTTAATTAAAAACACAGTTAGTTTGCCTCCTGGGAGCTGTGAAAACCCGCTGATGAAAGCTCGATGAAACGGAGATTGTCTGAAGAATGATCGTTTGGCAAGCTGTCCCTGAGCAGCCGCCGCATATCTCCCAAATATTTACGCTTCTGTAACTAGGATGACAACCAAGAAAAACGACCAAACTCGTTTACATTTATTGCTTCGGTTGAAGAGTGACAAAACCTCTGCAGCCTGCCTGTTTAGTTTTTGCTCTCACCTACTTGGTGAAACATCTTCAGGCTTGAAAAAAATGACTAAACGACCCCCGAACACAAAAGTAACCAGGTTCAGTGGTGTTACCGAGCTCACGTGATGCCACGGCTGGGCTTCTCGGTGTTGTTTCAGAGCTTCTCGTCGGAGCACCGGGTGTTTTCCTGCTCACACTGTTGAGAAACACAGCCTGCTGCTTCTGAACATGTCCACTCTGTTTTCATCTCAATGACTTTATCAGATTTTGACAACACAGTGCAGACGCTGACAAGCACCTCGGCCTCAGCTCGCTGCTGCCCAAAGCCAACATGGAATTCATCCCGAAGCTTGTTTGTCCAGCTGCTTTGCTTCCTCAGATCTTTTCTAACAGTAAAACTGCCTGACAGGGTTTGTGATGGAGGCGGTGGAGGCACAGAGATGGGGATAAATGATGGACAGAGTGTGATGGAACATGAACACATGATTTGCCTCAGCTTGAGGACAACTCGTCCAGACCAAACTGCTCACACCGTGCGGAGTATCATCTGTCTTCTCCTGGGCTAAATAATTTTCATAAGGCTGCCCCAAAAACCCTCTTGAAATATGAACAATGAGCTTCACAGCTGAGCCTGGTCTTTGTCAGGTTTTCCTTTTTCCTGCTTTGGGATCTTTCAGCCCAGTGCACCTTGTTGCCTCCAAAGTCCACAGACTTTTCTCTTGCTGGAAATAAACACAAATATTTAACTTCAGGTGCCTCTGATTGTTTTTCTCATATTATTTTGGACTAATTATAAATTGATTATTACAATATGTTTGCTAAATTTTGCTATAGTTCTGCCCCCTCTTATCTCACTGATCTGCTACAACAACAGTGTAACAAATCTTGCCTGACACCCTTCTCTGGTGAAGGTTGGTGCCTTCTTCGAGTTTCAGGTGGATGAATCTGAACTGGACTCCAGAAAGTCCCACAGTCAGCAATCTAATATACAGTACAATTATACTGGCATTTAATTTCAAAACAAAGTAAAAATAAATATGTATGTATAATTTTTTCTTCTTCTTTTGGCTGCTTCCATTCTCAGGGGTCGCCACAGTGAACTAACTCGCATGAAGACTTGGCAGTTGTTTTAACGCCGGATGCCCCTCCTGACACAACCACAGGCCACTGAGCTACCACAGCCCTCTGTGTGGAGCAGAGAGCTGCTATCTAGGGTGCCCAGGGGAGCAGATGGGGTAAGGGCCTTGCTCAAGGGTCCAGAGTGGGGTAAATGAAGGTGGAGACAGGTGTGGGTGTTTCATCTTTCTCACCCACATTTTGACATTGTTGGTTCAGGGCAGGGGCCTGCAACCTGCGGCTCTGGGGGCACATGCAGCTTTTTGTTCCCTCTGACTCTTTCAAGCTTTGACCAAAACTAACACAAAACTGGATTTTATTGGTTGTTATACAAACAAAAATAAAGCTGGTTTTAGCAGTTTTGTTTTGTCAGTTTTTCGGTCATTTCCTTTGCATATATGCCATTACTAGAACTAATACAAGCTGTAATCTACTCATTTTAACTTCATGCTTTATTTCTGTAGCCTACTTAATTATTTTTTTTGCACAATTAAAAACATTCATAGGTTTGCTTTTAAAAAAAAAAAAAACTGTAAAAACATTTTTTTCTTCTTTAAAAGAATCTGGTCATTTATTTTGCTTGAAATAATAAAAATATCAATATATGTTAAAATCATTGGATCTTTTTAGCTTTGTAATGTGTGGTCCCTACTGGTCTCAAAAAAACCCTCGAGCAAACCTAAAGCGGTCCACGGGCCGCCAGCTGACAACCACAGTTGTAGCAGGTTGTTGCAGCTCTGGACATGTTTAATTTAGTGAACGAAAGCACAAAAAATGTCTCTTTTGATCGTAAAGGTTGAAGACCCCTGATCCAGGGAGTTGAACCGGCAACTTTACAATCACAGGCCCACTTTCTGTAACCTCTGCGCCACCACTCCCACAAAGTGCACATGGAATTTAAACAGTTATAGGACAGGAGGAGAGCAACAAGACAAGATTCCCACTGGAAAGATTCCAGCATATATTTAGTCATCTGTCCCACAAGGACAGCATTATAACTCTTACTGTTTGTTTTGTGCATGTGTGTGTGTGTGTGTGTGTGTGTGTGTGTGTGTGTGTGTGTGTTAGAGACATAGAGCCAAAATATATGAGTGCACATCATGAGGACATGTAACTCTAACCCACTTCTCTCTTCCTCCCTTTCTTCTTTCATCCGTTTTTCCTCTACCTCATTTATCCCATCCCACTCGCTGCTTCTCTGCTTTGCCAATAAAACCATTCAGTTTTTTAAAACAATCCAGCGCTCGAGTGTTTACTAACAAAACTTATTGACGAACTACAGAGTTCACTTGACTCAAAATCCTTCTTACCTTCTTAAAATCAAGCGTGCAGAGTTTGGCCTTCTCCCCAAACTGCCATTTGCACTGCGTGTCTGCGTCGTACAGCTCGCCGGGCAGCTTCTCCGGATACCGATACTCTTTTACCGCTTTGGGTTCATCTGATAGACACAGGGCCTGAGCGGTGCTGGGGGGGCAGAGGATGGGATGGAATAGAAGCAGCAAAGCAGAAGAAGATTTGGAGAGTTTAGAAGAAAATTAAGAATACAGGCATCTGCAAAAGTCATTGATAAATTGTCAAATAAAATACAAAGAACAAAGCAGAGCATGGATATGATGGTATTATGAACAAAAATGTTTTCTCTGATATGAACTGTGCTTCATATTCAATGAACAGACAAGTGATGGTTGCTTGTTCCATCCTGTGGTGTTGCTGGTATATAAAAGTTTCACTGCTGGGCACAAAAATTCCACCAAAGCGAGCATCCACATGTCCCAGCTGACACTAGGGGCAACCTGGAAGTGTTGCCACGGTAACATAACAAGTTGCCATACACAAAATCTTAAGAGTGACGGCTTTCATGCATCAGACACTCGATTATGATCAACATTAAAAAAACTGTGCCCATAGCGCTCTTCTTCTGACACAAGCAGGGGGTTTCCTCTGCTAACCGATATCAAGGGTTTCTTTAGAGAGATGGTTTACAGTTTAAACTTTGCATTCAGGGGAATATAAACCAAATATATGGTGGAAAGATCTCAAAAAGGCTAAACATGATGGAATGGTTCCTGATTGCTTTAACAGAATGTGTATGTGTGAGAGCATTTATAGGCCCGTTGTGTCTACAGAGAACAATAACTGCTCTGCAAGTTTAAATTTCTGATATTCTACTCAATTCACATCGAAAGAATCCTGAAATATAGATTGTGTACATGGTGTCATTAAAGTATACACATCTGTGGTCGTGTAAGTAAAGACAGTCACTCAACTAATGTGGCAACATTAAAGCCTATTAACCAAACGCATTCTGTTTTATTCCATGACATCTCTGAACCTTTTCATATTTACTGAAAAAGGCTCAAGACAAAATGTTTTCCACAAATTAGAGACTACAGCTACATGACACACGTTTCTCATTAGCTGGAGATAAAAGATGAGGGGGAAATGTAAAAAGGATCCATTGTTGTTTTGGATTCCCCAGAGATCATCTGACTCATCTCTGCCATACTGAAATTACTGGATTTATTCTTTACACCATTGTCTCTTGGTGCATGGGACACAATGGCAGCAGTCTGTGGTGTGGAACATGAAACTCAAAGGTCTTGACCGCAGATCACCACTGCAACTCTTGATTAGACAGAAACTGGACTTCCTTTCTGTCAGGATAAAGGCTTACCATGGCTGAGTGTATGGAGATAAATTTGTCTCAAAGTATCATACAACATGACTTGTATGCATTAAACAAGATTCATAAATACATAAACTGTTTTTTCAAATGTACACATTTCAAACTGTACAGATCAGAGTATACTAAGCACTCAAATTGTCATACACCACGTGCACAAATCTGCTGCAAACAGCTCAGTCTGTACGAGCGCATAGATCAGCTGTGAATGTGGCTTTTGAGACTTTCTCAGATTCACCAAGGTAATGCTGCATTAGGGCTGAAACGATTCCTCGAATCATTCGAGGACCTCGATTACAAAACATTCTCGAGGCAAATTTATCTGCCTCGAAGCTTCGTTAAACTATTCAGAGCACTGTGGTCTAGCCGGAAGGTTTTTGTGTTACACACGCTAGCGCTTCCGCAAATGCGTATGTGCTAAGTTTGTAGCAATGGAGGGAACGGAAACTGCGTAGAAGAAGAGCCCCGAAAACAACAAAAAACTGTCATGTTTGGGAACATGTTAGGCTAAACAGAAAAGACAACACAGCTCAATGCATCCACCGCAAAGCAGAACTGAAGTAACCACAACAGTGCGTCATCGATGTTGCAGCGTCTGAAGAGAAAACATCTGCTGCAGCATCAAACTCGTCCACAGCTGTAACAGGTATCATGTTCTCTCTTTGCAAAATACGTTCACCTAAATGTGTGATCATCTGTCATGTTATAGATGTAAAATGAGGCTTATTTTTGCTAACGTTAAATCTACTGACTAATCATAGTGACTACCTGGTGGGGTCTGTACATGGTGTGAGGGGGAAAAAAAAAACTGCAGGACTTGATGCACGTTTGTTAAAGATAAAAGCAGCAACAGACTGATGATATGAGCTGAAACACATTTATTTATTGCTGTACTTCCATCCTGACTTAAATGACATATTTAGGGTGAATATTTCAAGTGTAAATGTATTTAAACAAGTTAGTAGGATTTTTTTTCTTCTTGCTACTGCTGTTTATGATTGAAAACTGGGATTAATCTGCATTTATTACTACTGTGATATTTGTTTATAGCTAAACAATCAAGACTAAATAATAATACAGTCTGCAGAGCTCAATGTACAAACTCAAACTTTACATTATCTATCTTACTCAGTTTCTAACATAAATATTCCATTCAGTTTTCCAATCCATAAAAATTTATAGCATTTAGATTTTTATGTGATGGTTAAAAATAATTCAGTGACAGAGTTTTAATTAAATCATCCTCAACATTTTAACATTTTAAATATGATCCTCACAGACATGCAGCTGCTGTCCGTGGTGGAAGATGAAGGATCCAGAAGATCATCTCCACCTTCAATCCAAATGATGTGCTTCCTTCCAGATCCTACTTTGTAAATTCAATTCAGTTTTCCAATCCATAAAAATTATTTTACAGCATTTAGGGTTTTAAGTGATGTTTAAAAATAATTCAATTTAAGCAATATAATATTTGAAAAAGAGGAATTAAATGGGTTGTTTATTTAATGTTTTTTTCGTGTATTTGTACCACTCATAAAATGAGTATGGTAGTTACTGCAGAACCTGACAAATTTTGTTTTCGATTACCTGATTAATCGTCAATTGGAGTCAATTTGAATAAAACTACATACATTAATAAAACCTTGCACAGCTAACTCGCCTATAAAAATAATCAGTGGTTGTAACCCAGTCAATACAGAGCTGTAATCTGGTGTGGTAGTAGTAGAGGGTCATTTCCAACACATACTTCAAGCAATAACAGATTAACTTCTAGAATTGACCAAAATGTTGACACTCTGTCAGTTTTCAAGATGAGATCCCAGTGTAAAAGTTGTCAATAAAAACAGAGGGTGAAATGCAAAAATTCAAGGAAGGTTAGTTTATAATTACAAACATTTTTAAGCAGAGGTGCAATGTGCCATGTGAAAAAGGACAATTTGTGGAAGCTGTTGTGATTAATTACTCTGAAAGTATAAACGTGCGGTTTATAACTTCAGAAGTTACAAATTGGAAGTTGTGGATAATTTAAGGTTTTGTGTTTATAAATTGCTTTAGAAGGTTGCCTCTATATATATATATATACACATACTACATATTTATATTATTACTATTATTAGTGAATGTAGCTTTAACTCTTTGATCATGATGCAATGAATGACATTTGTTGATCCCTCCTTGATATGAAGAACTCAATAACACAATAAAAAAAGATCCAACTAACATGAGTGCAGCTACAGCGTGCGCTCTCAGGACAATATTACATGCAGTGTCCCCACAGTGCGGACTGAACTTGGCAAAAGGGACTTCTCCTACTCCGCTCCTGTTTCCTGGAATATCTTGCAAAACGATCTGAAGCTCTCGACCTTGACCTCTCTAAGTGGCTTTAAGAATCTGTTGGACTCCTGGCAAGAACCAATGCAGACATGTTCTTGTTTTTAGTTCTCTACATTCGCCTTATAATCTTGCTGTTTTTGCAACTTTTTTGCCAACTTATTTTAATTTGTAAAAAAAAATAATTATAATAAATTATGTATGCCTCCTTTATGATTGTCTATTGTTGTCATTGTTGTCATCATTCTTTGTTGAAATCAGGTCTCTCTAGTAAATGAGTCCTCGAGGCTCAATGGGATTAGCCTGTCTAAATAAAACTTGAATGAAAAAAAAATCTGACAACATTTTATCATCATCATTTTATTTATTGCAAACTGAACCATTGGTCAGTCTCTCCACCATCACAGACATCTACAACTCCAGATGCAGGAAGAGGGCCGCCTGCATCATGAAGGACCCCGCTCACCCAGCACACACTTTTGGCCCCGCTCCCCTCAGGAAGGAGGTTGTGGAGCATTAAGTGTAGAACCACTAGACTGAGGAACAGCTTCTACCCTGAGGCTGTTAGACTCATGAATCTCTAACCAGAATAATCACAATGAAAAAAAAACCCACTGTAATGCCACTCGACTGTTCATATGTGCAGCTCATTATCCATGCTGCTGATCTCATGCTGCTGATTTATTTCATGCTGCTGTGTTCATTTGTACTCACCTGCTCACACAGACTCATGTTTATACTGCTGTTGTACAGCATATTGTTTTTGTACTATTAGTGCTTAGAGTATTCTTAGTTTGTTGTATTTTTTAGTTAATATCTTAGATCTTATTACAGTTTTTCTTTTACATTTTATTGTTGGATGAAACTGGGACCCTGTGTACACAATTTTGTTCCACCACATGTACTACAAGTGGTGCAAATGACAATAAAGAAACATTGACTTTGACCTTAAGAGTTTAAAAACTGTCTATCTGCTGCACAAAGGTAAACAAACAAAATGGCATCATAAAGAGCTAAAACTTCTAATACATTAAATGCAGCATTATTGTAAGTAAACTGTTTAAACTAAGCCTAACGTATTTAATTGATTTTATTTTAGATGAAACAAAGTCTAAAATAAAGAACCTAATCAGACATGCAGCACCAGAGCAGACCTCTCTGACACAGCTGGCTGAGGGAACAAGTTTTAGTCTGATTCAATGCTGCTCTCCAAGCACATCAAAGAAACATTTAGCAGTCTCAGTTAACTCAGCAAGACACATTTAACACAGATTATCCATGTATCATAGCATTCCGTTGATTGCAACTAGGAAAATATTCTGCAGTTCAGTAAATCTTCCAAAAGAAGATCTTAGACACTGAACTGTGCTGTGATCCTCTCCTTGCGGCCTTCAGAGGTGACGGGAGTCTAATATAAGGCTGACAGGCCTAACAAGGCTGAGGTCATCGCTGCTCTAATAACCCAGTGAGGAAATATACGTTCTGTCTCCACCACTCTGAGATGGGAAACCTGACAGTTCAGTTAACACACTGGTAAATTTAGTGGAGGGCACCGACTTTGAGCTATCTAGTTTCAAACACACACACAAACACACACACTCACACACAGACCCACAAGCAGACTTATGGACGCTGCAGCCGTGATGGCTGTTTTCTCACTTGACCAAGCAGACTGGTTGGTTGGAAATGCAGTCACCGCACAAACACACAAACTATTTTTCCTCCTGAAAACTTCCACTGCCACGTAGCTTGGCACACCATAAATATTCTTCCTGTAAAACAGAACTCAAAGGCAAAAACCTGCACCACATATCAAAGTGGTCAGTATTCTAGCTCCATTGTGTTTTTCAGTGTGTGTCACACAAACAGGCAATTATTTGCACAACAGTTCTTCAAATAACACTTTTTAGATGACAGCTTCACCTAAAATATCCAACACATTTATTCATAACGCATGCGTAATAACAGAAAAACACAACGTGGATGCTTTGAACACAATGCATCTTAAATGTGTTCATTACCAGTTTGATAAAATCACTATTTGAAAGTGATGCAAGGTTTTATGTTTCCTGCTTCAGCTCATATAAATTGAATTCTAGAATTGCGCCGCTCAAGGTGGCTGCATGTTGGAGCAGCTCTGTTTCTTTCATTCTGAGATTTTGCTTTTGGAAACTTTAATTCCTGGTTTTCTGGATGTAAATCACATTTTTTTGGATGATTGTTTCCTCTGGTATCAGAAGCTGTGCAGCCGGAAGGATTTTTACTGAAACTTTTTAAGTTTTGGACATTTGTTATGATGCATAACCATGGCAACAAGGCTGTTTTCTACAACAACAGCAGCTGATTAACATCTCAAAAGCTCAAATAATATCTCAACTATGGCCCCAACTCTCAAATGAGTTGAAAAGGATGTTATGTAGACGCATTCTCATCTACCTGCCAGCTGTGCTCAAGTGTCTGACCACTGAGATCCTGGAACTAGCAGGAAACACGGCTCACGACAGCGGAAGGACAGGATCGTCCCTCAGCACCTACAATTGGCTGTCCGCAGCTATGAGGAGCTCGGCAGACTGCTGGGAGGACTGGCCATCGCTCTGGGAAGAGTTCTGCCCGGCATTCAGGCGGTCCTACAGTCCAGGGGAACCGAGAGGTCAGCCGAGTCTGGGTGGACGGATCGGACGGCATCTGCAGCCAGTTTCTTAGAATCCACTGTGGGATGGACCTTTACAAGAGATCCTTCCTGCCTACAGCCATCAGCATCTATAACATCTCTTAATGAAATGAGGATAATGAGTTATAACAACAAAATAATTTCCCTTTGGGATTAATAAAGTATTTTTGAATTGAATTGAATTGAATATAGACTGCAAAGACGAGCTCAACAACACAGTCAACTGTCATATAGTATTTACCTGTATGTGGCTTCTGTGTTTCAAGGGAAGCTACCTGTAAAGGTTGGTAACGACTATTTCTTAAATCAATGAGTTGGTCACAACTAAAAATCGTAACTTACTTGAGAAAGCGGCTGAGATATTGGCGACTGCAAGGAGACCAGGAGAAGATGCCGTTGTGTCCGGCTAAGGTGGGAGACATGATGTTGCCCTCGGACTTTTTGCAAACGTTGCCCTCACCATCATGAACCATTCCAAAACTGGAGAAAAAAATAGGTGTGCAAAACATTTTCTTATTCTGACAGTTTTTTTTCTCCAAATATTGCTTTTTTTATGCAACAGAAGACGTGTTACCAGAAAGTTGTTTTCACCATGAGAAAAGCCAAAACAGTGCATTCCTTTGAGCAAGAACCTCGTCACACTTAGCAAGTATTTTAAAAATACGTCCATTTTCCATTGTTGTTTTAGCTAATATGATGAACATGTTGCATAGTTGATCCGTTTATTGAGGTGATAGAAACCTTACTTGTGTCCAGATTCATGGGCGATGGTGAATGCCAGACCCAGGCCAGTGTCTTCATTGACGGTGCAGCTTCGGTACCTGCTGCACATCCCACTAATTGGCGCAAAGCCTGCAAAACACATATTATTTTACAGGTTCTGCATAGACAGTCCAAAGTGCACCATAAAAATAAAAGCAGCTGAAAAGTCGTGACTCTCAGCATAAAAGATTAACAGTTCTTTAAAATCAAAACAAAGTCTCTAAAATCAAAATCAGAAAGTTAACAAGCTGTCTGTGGCTGCATGGATACTTTGGAAGCATTGCATGAAAAAAACTCCATTCTGTATGTTGAAACAGACCTTTTACTTTACATAAAAACTATATTTTAGTATTCAGAGTCCTCCTGTGCTCCTATGACACCCCCCCCCCCCACACACACACACAAACAAACACACAAATATTCACAGGCTGTTAATCAGAAGGGAGAAAATGTATGGGGCCCCCGTTTAACGTTCTTGTCCCAGTGTCTCATGGAGAACTTGTGTTTTACTTAATTTATGACCCAAAGTTGTGAACTTTAGAGTTCAAACCTCCCCTGAAGAAATGTCCCTTTGTAAATAAATAATGTGAGTAATGATGCTAAACATAGCTGAGCAGACTGACTATGAGAACTACCATGTCGTCATTTTTCTGTACCAGCAGAGAGGTGGGTCACATATTATATATTAATTTTGAAATATGGGTGAAAACATTAAGGGATAGGGCTGTAATGGTAATGCAAATAAACTGGGTTATTGAATGACTAGTTGGGCTAATGGCTGTATTGTCTTGCATCTTTGAGAATTAGTCAACCATACGTTTTTGATTGCAAATGGTCACACACAAAAACATACATTTGCACACCTTTGAACTGGACCTTAATAGCAATGATTTAGGTAATGTTAGCCTTCACACTTTCAGGTCCAAACTTGTGTCACTTGAGGGTACTGAGGGTATATCCTTTGTCGCACCAAACCTCTGCTTATCTTCTGTCACTACATCCATGATCCTTCCCTGGGGTCTTCTTCTTTTCTTTGTCACTAGTCGCTCTATGTTTCAATATAGTTTGTCCAACATGTTCTAATCTATCCACTAACCCTCTTTTGCACATGTCCAAACCAGCTCAGCTTTGTCTGTGTAACTTTGTCACCAAACCCTTACCCTGAGCTGTCCCTCTGACATACATACTCCTTCAAGCCCATCAGACCCAAAGAAAATCATCATCTTCAGCTCTGCCTCCTCATGTCTCTGTGTTAGTGCCACACTCTACATAAACATCAAAGCAGGTTGCATCACCATTTTGTAAGCCTTTCTTTTAACACTTGCAGCTCTCTTTCAGTCTCAGACCCCTGACAATGGTACCCATCCTCTCCATCCTGCCTGCACTCCCTTCTTCTCCTCTACTCTCCAAGCATCCATCCATCCATCCATCCATCCATCCATCCATCCATCCATC